TACATATATATATGTAAAAAGAAGGGGAATAAATTACAAAAGCTGCAAATGCTGTGGTTGCACTCATACAGAAGTAAAATGAGGGAAAATAAAAAAAACAAACAGAAACTTCATTTGATCCAAAAACAGTCAATGAAAACTACTGACGGAGGGAAGAGGAGCTATGATAAAAACGCCAACGTCCTTCCTTCTCTATCTCTCTCATGCATCAACATAACATGAAAAAAACTCAGATTCCATTCATTTATTCAGACCCAAACCCAAACATTCACATTTTATGTCATAACAAATTTAAGGAGCTTCAACAAGAGAAAAGAATGCAAGTCTTGGAGGAATTTTGATGAACTTTCCATTTTCTATTCCAGATGTTATTTTAATAGTAGCTTGATCTCACATAAAATTACTGACTGTTCTTTCTTTAAATAAATTAAATCAGTGTCCCATGGACAGCAACATGCCAGCTGAAAGTATGCAAGTATTAAACAACATTTTCATTTATAATTGCAGAATTACATAATGTATAATGCAGCCAAATAAAATGGACAATTGCTCCTAATGAACAACAAATGTGGTCATTTAGTGACTAACTGGGCGTGGATAACAGCTGCCTGATTGAACAAGGCTCCTACGTCAGTCACCTTAAAAAAAAAAGTAGAAATAGAAGAAAAAAGGTGAATGTCACATTTTCTCCTAGTATTGTGTGACATGAGGTCCAATAAGAATTTCCATTATGTTTTAGTTTTAGACCTCTGAGCAGTTAAGATGCTCATATAACTTTATTGTTACAAACCAGCACAAGAATCGAATTAATTGATCATGTTTGCTGCACAAACAGGGAATCCGACTTCCAAGACAACATTGTGTATGAACATTTTTTAAAATTAAAAAATTAGAGCAACAAAACTTGTGTTTTTTCTTATATGACATTTGATAACCCAGTAGTGCGACGCTGAAGGAAATGTTGGTGGATGAGTGTGAAAAAGGGCAGATGTCATATCTTCATTTGTGAGACAGGTCTTAGCGTTTTTAAAGGCTCAGGAACTTCGCTATAAGATCACTTTTTCATCAGGCGCCGAAAAAATGCAGTAAATGAAGCAAACAGAACGGATTCATCCAGAGGTTTAAAAATTAGATATTTATGCTTCGATGTGAACGACTTTATCTCCTCGGGGTCCCGCGCTTCAAAGTCTGTGTGGAAACTTTTTCTAGTTTTCAGATGTTTTCTGATAACATGAAGCAGGATGTTGATCATTTTTATCCGATCCTCTAAGAATATAAACAGTTTTGACATTTCTCTGATGTAATCTGGCATTTAACTCATTTTGCATTTAGTATCAAACTTCTGTTTGGCTTCAAGAAAACCACAAAAAACTTGTATAACAAATGCATACAAACAGAAGCTGCCGATTATAAATATTTCATAATATGAATACCTATTATCATTTGCAAACATGCTAATTAATTCAATTAATAATTTTTCTTATAAATAAAAAACAGTATATGTATAAGTACATTGTTGAAAAGAATAAAGTTTTATTGAAATTGTGATAATAAAATGAAATAGTTAATCCTATATAGGGCAAGTTACTGTTTCTGATTACTTGCGTAGCTTTTACAAATGGAGTCCCCCCATCCCTCAGTGAGGTCTAGAAGCACTAGATCTATATCCAGCCATTCATTAAAAATCCTGCTACATGGCTTTATATCTTATTTTGGCATTTGACCAATTAGATGAGCCCTATAATGATATATTACGTAATGTAAGTCAAGAAAAAGGTAAAAAGCTGATTGAAAAGTTAAAAAAGTTACGTTCAAAAGTAAAAAAAACCTAGTTAACTATTATATTTAGATTTATAAACTAAAAAATGTAAGTGCCAGTATCAGCATTAATGCCTCTAAGGTTATGTTAGACCAAAAAACTGTGTTTCTTTCAATTTCGTAGTGTTTTTCAATAAATTCTTATAATTGTATTTTCTTAATGCATTCAGGTAAGTTGGTTTTTCTTGTTGTTACATTGACATACATTTTTGCCATCAAAGTATATTATTGAATGTTACATTTTGAATGTTTAGAATGTAATACGGTCTGGTTTCCAATAACACTATTGGCTTGAAAATTAGATTTTCAAAGTATTTCACTGAGTGCCCTATAAAGAGTTAAGGTACAAAATCTATTGCAGCACAATTGTTAATTATTAAAAAGTTTAATTACCTCATTCTAAGTTTTTTTTATTCTAATTTAGTTTTTCACATTTGTGATACAACCTTTTAAATGTGCCGAAACTCACGTCTCGAGGAAATGAATAAACTTTTTTCTGGCTTTAAAAAGATACGTGACATTAAAAAAAAGTTTTTTATTCTACAACTTAATTATGTTAAATTTAGAACCTTTGCTTGTACAAAGAAAATATTCTGAGAGGTTTACATCTATTCCTAAAAATTAAGCATGAGTTAATTTTGATGTAGAATAAAATTTTATTAGTTTGCTTTTAATCCGAATAAAAGAAAAATTATTATATTTCCTTTAAAAACCCCACTTTTTATTTCTCTCAAATTTTAAGCTCACTACTTTAAAATTCAAACAGGAGACATGCCGACAGCCGCAGAACACAAGGAGGGATAACATTTGATATTTATTAGAACTCTCAATATTTAATTTCCCTAAAGCAGAGTTAGTATAAATGTGAGAGTTTATAAACAGTTATAGACATATTATATAAATAACTAGATAATTAATCCTGTATAAGATTTATAAAGTTAATAATTGTATCATCACATTGAGGCTTAGTTATTATTCACATATAGAATTCATATACAGCAAATTACATTTTCTTCAATTTATTTTCACTTTTCCGTGGATAAAAAACAAACATAAAAGTTTTTTTCATCCATTTCTACCATTTTATAACGGCGTGGAAGTGTAGGAAGATGGGCTGTCTGCTGCTCACAGTCTTTTTTGGCGGCACTTCCTTGTCGATATAAAGTCTCTGAGATCCTCTGTGTTCTTCAGTCGCTAGTGATGAGCTGCGGTGATGATGGAGCTCATGCTGCTGCTCCTCCACACCTTGGCTTACTTCACACCCACAGGCTCAGCAGGTAAGTTATAGACCTCTTTAAATTCCTGACATAAAATAATTCTGTTTATTAATGAAATTAAATAGTATTCTAAACAAACAGCAGCGCTTTAATCAAATTAACCCAGAATTTTCACTAGGAAGATTACTGTAAAAAAACTCTATGACATATTTCTAGAAATAAGTCATAGAGCTATAAGTTATTTCTAGAAAGCCGAAACCTTTAAAAGGTTTTTATTTTCACCCAATGATAATCATATGCTGTTTAAATTCAAAGAATGTCTTAGAATAGTTTTCTAAATATGTTCTTTGAATCATTTTCAATTACTGCAATTTTATGTCTTCTTGCAAAGCGGGAGTTTAGATGCATTAAGTTATGTTTATTTAGTTTGTTTTTAAGATTTATAATTTGGACATTTTCCAGAAAAAGATTTTCTGTCACATCCCTGGTTAGATTTAGCAATATAT